TTTTTTTTTTTTTTTTTTTTTTTTTTTTTTTTTTTTTTTTTTTTTTGCAATTGACATAATGGCAGCTACAAAGGATTCTTGATCCATCCGGAACAACAATAAATTTAAAAGATATTTTGGCACACAAAAAAAATCAAAGTCTCCCGGTCAATTGAGTCCTACTAACTACTGTTAAATTTACATAACACTATCTTTTCATATAGCAAGTATAGCTCCTTTCCATGCTATGGTTCCACCAGGAAGGTGGCACTAGAAAGAATAATATCCTCGTAAACACAAGCAGCTATCTGATAGACATGAAATGATTCACTTGGCTGTTTTTGTGCTCACAAGAAGAGAAGCACCTACCAGTGCTCTACAACAAACTGCTCTTTTCTAAATCAACAGGAGCCAGCAGCGCATCCTGGCACCCAAGGGGCACGCACAGCACAGCCAGCTGGTAAAAGGAGGTGATGTTCCTGCTTTATTAGTGTTGGTGTGGCCTCACATCAAGTATCGTGTGCAGTTCTGGGCTCCATAACACAAAAAGGACATTAAGATCCTTTTCAAAGGAGGCACCAAAGCTGGTAACAGGGCTGAAGGCATGTTCTGTGAGGAAAGGCTGAGAGCATTGGGAAGAGGAGGCCAAGAGGTACCTCAGTGCTCCCTGCAGTGCCCTGATGAAGGGAAGCAGAGGGAGGTGCTGGGTTCTGCTCCCAGGAACTGACAGCAGCAGGAGAATGGCAGAGAGCTGCCATGGAAGGGTGGGACTGGACATTAGGAAAGTTTTATTTACCATGAGGGTGGTTAAACACTGGAAGAGGCTTCCTAGAGAGGCAGCTGATGCCCTGTGCCTGGCAGTGTTTATGGGGTATTCGTACAAAGCCCTCAGTAACATGCTCTAACTTCTGGTTAGCCCTGAGATGGTCAGGAGTTGGACGTGCTAGTCTCTGAAGGTTCCTTCCAGCTGAATTGTTCTAAAAAATCATAATAGTCTAAAAATTCCACTTATCTGAGAGAACAGCAAAGCTTTTAACTGCACCTACATACAACAAAACTACTGAACTTGCCATTTATCAGAGAGCTCACATCTCAAGAAAAACACAGCACACCTTATCCTTGTCAGCTCCTCACTCGAAGTCAATGAGACTGTGAGCTGTCTTGATTGTGGCCTAACCTTAGTATTCCACTGAAAATACAAAATTCCAAATTCATGCACTGAGCAGCTCTAACACCACATTATTTGCCAAGGCCACTGATCGTGTTATATATTAAGAACTAAAAGCTGTCAAAATTTAACAACTGTTATTCCCTTATCATGTCCAAATCTTTCCTGAATCTGCCAATATATAGCATTATTAGTGGATTACCTGCCTAAAAGCATTCACTGCACCCACTATAATTTGAGTGATTAACTCGAGAATGGGAATTCAGTCCTTGATTTCTCTCCAGCTGGCTACAACTGCAGCCAATTTCTGCTGATGTGTTTAGAAACACAAGTTTAATGTAAAATTTTGAACGACTTGAAGAGGAAGAAAAAACCAACATGCTCACAAATGCTATCTGATCTACATAATTACCTTAAGATACTAGAGTAATATTATTAATATGTTAGCTTATTTGATTTCCAACTGCCGCAACAGAAATAAAATAATGTTACTAACTTGTAGTGTACATTAAAAATTGTACTGGCCCCAATTCATACCTGAACAAACTCTGCTTACACTTAGCTTCTGTCCTCCATCTTCTTTCAAAGCATTTCATTTTGTTTTTATCAGCAAGTTATATGTGCATCCCCAGTAAGACTAAGTCAGTAAGCACTGGAGACAGGCAAACTCTCCCAGGCAGAGACTGTTCTTTGGTTTAATCCAACAAACACACTTGCAGACAGCCGAGAGAGGACAAAAAGCCCTGCTTGTTTCACTCATGTGAAGAACGTGAAGAACATACAGAAGGATGCTTTCCATCTTTAGGAAGGGATGGACAAAGGCGTAAGGTGAAAACTAAGAACAGGAAAGGTTGATCAAGTCTCCTAATGACAATGCGTAGCGTTAGCCTATGCAAGCAAAAGGATGGGATGCATTCTGAGCAAAGGCAAGCAGTACAAGTGACAGAGCTCAGGAACCAAGCACCTTGCTGTAGGACTAATGCTTAAATCTGCATGCTAATTGGTTTGGCCTTTATTGAAGCTGCTTCCACCATGCCTCCAGTGCGACTCCCACTCATCCCACTCCCACTACATCCCGATGTTAAAGCCAGCCCAGCTTGCACAGCCACACTGGATGGCAGCCATGACTGAGTTTACAAACACATTTTCAGCATTTTCACATAAATCAATGCAGGGCAATCAGACAGTAAAAGCAACAGAAGTCGGCACTATCACAAATACCAACAGTGACTAACAAAACCAAAGCAAAAATCAATGCAGACAGCACTCAAGGTCGCTTCCAGCACCCGGATCGCTCCTCACTCAGCACAAATGACCAAAAACCCCCAAACAGCTCACAACACCGGCCGTACCCCACAGACGCTTCCGAACCCCTCACGTAGCCCCAGCAGCACTATCCCAGCCGGCCACCCTCGGTTCTACCACATACAGCATTCAAACCCTGCTGACGCGTCAATCAGAATTACTCACTTATCTCCAACCGAAACGCGCTACTGACCTCTATCCCTACTGACCAACACGGACCGCAGCCGCACCCCGCCGGTACCGCGGGACGGGCACCTGTGCAGGACGGCTCCGCTCCGGGCCGGGCCACGCCACCACCCTCGGGGCAACGGGTGGGCGCAGCGCCCCGCGCCCCAACGGCCCCTCGCTGGCGGATGGGCTCTGTCCTCGGCCGGGCTGGGCTGCAGAGGAAGGCGGAGAGGACAGCGCTCACCCCTCCAGCCGGACTGGCAGCGCTCCGCGACACCCTTCAACCCGCAGGGGAAGGAGCGCAAGGAAAAAGCTCGGCGGGACAGCCACTCCCCGGAAAGCCGCCGCTCTGCCGCTCCCTCCTCGCCCCGCGCAGTCCTCCGCCCGGAGCCGAGCGCCGCTCACCTGGCCCCAGGGGACCGACCGCCTGTCCCGCGCGACGCCGCCGCCCGCTCGACTCTCGGTGCAGGAGGCGCGGCCAACGCCCCCGGCTGCTAGAGCAGCCGCGGGCCGGGACCCGGGGGGCGGAGGCAGACGAGGGAGGTGCTGCGAGAGAGAGAGAGGGAGGGAGCCGGGAGCCCCTCGGTAAGGCTGGCCCGGCGACAGTGGCCCTGCGGGTACGGGCGTTGGCTCTGACCGAGTCCCGCGTGCGGCTGTGAAGCGCGCGGCTCGCAGTGTGAGGGGGCAGCGGGCAGCGAGCGGAACAGCGCGGCTCGAGGGAAATCGCGGGGCACTTCGCAGCTCCACACAGCGAATTGAAGGCGGGACGGGGGGGAGAAAGGTGTGGCTTTCCTCGCGTTAACTTGTCTGGGATGAAGCACGTTGAGAAAAGGCAGCATTTCCAATGATTTCTCTTTTTTCTTTCTTTTTTTTTTTTTTTTTCAGTTGCTTAACACAGCGAAGTTTTAGGAACTGCTTCTGAGGTTGGAAGGGGCCTCTCAAGACTGACCCCTCTGCCTCCCTGTTGGAATAGGGCAACTCCAGCACGGTGCCCCAGACTGTGCCCTCATAGTTCTGTGTCTAAGGATGCTGACTCCACACCACCTCTGGACGCCCTGTTCCAGTGTCCAACCACTCATCATAAAACTCCGTTTTCAAAGAATCAGAATGGTTTGAATTGGAAGGGATCCTTAAAGGCCATTTAGTTCAGCTTCCCTGCAATGAACAAGGACACCTACAGCCATATCAGGATGCTCAGAGCCCAGTCCAGCCTGACCTCGAGTGTCTCCAAGAAAGGGTCATCCACCACCTCTCTGGGCAACCTGTGCCAGTGCCTCATCATCCTTATTGTAAAAAACTTATTTTTCCTTGTATGCAATTGAAATCTCCCCTCGTAGTTTGAAATGGTGTCCCCTTGTCTCATCACAACATACTCTCCCACAGAGTCTGTCCCCTTCTTTCTTATAGCCCCCCTTTAGATACTGTTTTCTTATGTTAAGATGAAATTTCTTGTTTTTCAATTTCTGCCCATTGCCTCTAGCCCCGTCAGCACTAATATAAACCTGTCTCTCACTACATATTTTTAAGGAAATTTTGGAGTTTTAGGCAACAAGAAATCTTCTTTGGTGTCATTTAGGATAGGAAAAGGACAGAATCTACAAACTCTACAGATAGCAGATCCTCCTAAGGATGCAGTGTGCAATGAGTCCATGTGAGGAGCAGGATTTCATAGAGAAATACTTAGAAAGTACTGCTGAGGTTAGATAAAAAGGCTTGTTTCATTTTGCTCGGATCTAGGGTGGTGGATGTAGGGATCTTTGGATGCTTTGGAGCCAGTACCTAATGGAACACATTGGGAGGGCTTTGGCAGATCTTCACAAAGGATAAAACAAGAGGCATGTATCTTTCTCTGCCTTGGATAGTGCGATATCTTCCTTGAACATTGAAGTACCATAGATTGTGCTCCCCTTACACTTCTGTGTGGACATGATGGTGATAGGCTGACAATTTGACTTGCTAATCTTAGAGGTCTTTTCCATCCTTAGTGATTCTGTGATAGTATGATTTTCTTCCTAGCTTATACCACTTTATGAAGTGACGGAGGATTATGTCTCCCTCATTTCTGAAGTGGACTTCCAAAGTCAATAAAAAAGAGGAGAAAATTGTCCTGAAGTTACTGCTAGGGGTGTGATGTGTGAAAATACTGTTTATCTGCAAAAAGCACAACCTAGTGGTTCTACATCAGTGCTCTTTTGACACATCCACAAACAGTCTGCTCTACACAGGTTAGTGATGTTTCAACAGAAAGGCTGAATGCTTGAATGAGCACAGAAACTGAAGCCCAACTCACCCTCACGGCACGTTACGCATTGGCAGGGCAGGTTTAGTAAGCTCACTGTATTGCCTGTTCTGTGAATAATTACCTGTGTACAGATAAATGGAAGCCTGCCTCTGTCCTACTGCCTTGACAAATGACACGTTCTTTAAATAAAAATCAACCAGTTGATGAATTTTTAAGCACTGCAGACAGAGGAATTTCCTCAAAATTTATTTTTCTCTCAGATCAAGTTCATTTAGCAGGAGAAAATAAATACTGTGTGGCTTATAAAAGCCCTACTTAATTTATATCTGAAATTTCTTATTTAAACTACATCTTACGTTAAAGTGGGTGGTGTCCAGTAACGTGCTTGCAGAGAAACCAAACAGAATTAGTTGGCAATGACCTAGGAACCAAGAACAAGTAATGAAGTTCATTCCCAAAGTGCATTTTTATAACTGCACTTAACTGGAAAAAGTCTCTGAAATCTATATACATTCACACAGGTACCAGTTTTCCATCTCTACAGTTTTGGGACTGTGCTGGATCTAACCGGTGTTACACACAAGCCACAGGCAGATTCCTGTGCGCTTCCTAAGAAAGTGTAGACTGTGGCAGGTCTGAGACACAGGCACAGATAACTAAATGATGAAGAACTTTTTGATCCCGTTAGTTTGTCATGACTGTGCCAAAACCAACCAACCAACCAAAAAAAGAACAACCACCAAACCAAACAACAACCCTCTCTGCATTCAGATTACTTAATGCCTCCTTTATAATAGGCTTGTGCAACAGTGTACATTGGCTTAGTAGGAACAGCAAGAGACATGTACAAGTTTGAGAGAATGATAGTCCCTTGAAAGGAAGCAAGCAAATATTTTGTCTCCAAGCAAAATGATCACATTAATTATGTCTTGAACAGTGCTGAATAAAGCTCCTGGAGCTGAGAGACTCTCTAGAAGTTTTCTGATCAAAAGGTAACTAACTTGAAAATGGAGATAAGGATACAATAAACTGGTATTGATATGCGTTTGTCTATGTATCCTTGTTTGGACATGTAATGAAATGCTGGATTTCAAGCTTCTGACAGTTCAAGCATTTTATTTATTTATTTGTTTATTGTATTTCTTCTAGTTAAGAGGATTGAATGTAGAAACCTCAACAGTAACCCCAACAAAGTGGGTAAATTCCCATTATATTCAGCTTGACCAGAGTCTCATATCATGCTTTCTAGTTGCTTTGGGATGCTTTGTTTTGCTTACTAAATCCCTCTGTCTCTATTTATGTGTGCGTATATACGTTTCCTAGTAACATCAGCCATCACTGTAACACATCTTATTGCAGCATTCACTTCATGATTATGATTTGTGTAACCAAATGGGACTTGTTCTAGTGATGTAATTTGTGTCTCAGACGGTAGAAAAAAAAGCAAATAGTTGTCAGTTTGAAAGAGAGGGGAGAGATGGTGGGAGAGGTGATCTCTGTTTCCCTTTTCAATTTCTCTGTGAACATAGGATTTTTGAAGAGTTAAATCCTTGAATGTAGGTGCTTGAAGGAACAGAGTTGTCGTGCTTGCTTCTCCCTGCTTCTCCCCTCTTCCTAGTGTTTGGGATTGGAGGTTGTTTTGCCCAGTCAACATCAGGGAATTATAGTAGAATTTTTTTAAAAAAAGAACTTAGTGTAAAATTGGAGGAATGACTGCTTCAATTAATCACATTGAGGTAACGTTGTTTATGTCAAATCTACTCAATTTAGAAACCAAACAAAAAGACTTCCTGATAATTTCATGGCTCTGGATTTTTTCTTTCTGCATTTTTTTCTTCTTCTTTGACACATTAAAGGTTTATATGAACACCATGGATTGATCAGATGTACAAAGAAGTGGCTGAAGTTCTGAACTTCTCTGTTTAAAATATATAAGTAGGAAAAAAATCACTCATTTTTTTTCTATAGTCTCACATGTTTTAGTGGTCATGAGGATTACAGAATATTTGGTTAAAAAAAATAGGTATTTTTTTAAACTAATGGTAACCCTGAAGATTAAACACAGTCATTTACCAGTCTTTCAGTCCATTTTCTGCTTTCCGCATTGCAGAGATAGAAAAAAGTTCTAGGATAAGAAAGTGATATGAATTAACTGTGAAGCTAAGAGGAACCATACGTATCAAGGGGGAGGATCTTAAGTCTAATCTTAAAACTACACATATTTAGCACCAAGTTGAGAACTCGGTTTGTGAAAAAGAGGCTGCCTCTGTTCAAAATTTGTGCCTCGACAACAAATGCCTATCTTACAAAAGAGTCTTTTGCCTAGATAAACCTATCTAATGTTGTAATAGAATAGCTACTTATTAATATTCTTTTGTCAGAAAGTAGCATATAGGCGTGGGAACCATGAGTATAGTGTTTACTGAATGTTAACTGAACCAATATGTAGAAGAAATCTCTTAGATATGTAATCATTAAATAAGGAGGTGTAGTGTATCCAGCTGTGTGATTTTACACATGTTGTCAAATATGAAGTACAACACCCATAGTAAGGCTTTCTGTTGACTGCTGCAGTTTCTTAATAAAAAAAAAAGCAATATGTAATATCTTTTCCTCTGAAGGTCAAGGATAGAAAGAATAATTATAGCTCTGTAGTTAAAGTCTAAACTTAATTCAACAAAGAAATATGTTTTTCACTAGTTTTTAGAAGAAAATACCTTTATAGAGCTGTATCTTGTAAAGTTACTTAAAATAAATAAGATTTATATTCATTATGATGTTTTGTCCGATTAAATTCAATGTTTCAGGTCCTATTGCTTACAAACACATGGCCTTCATGTTTGTA